TAACTTGGTCTTGGCCTGCTGAACCGGTAGAATTAGTAGAAATTCATTATTATCATTAAAAATGTACAATAAATGCAAAGAAAGAAAGAATTGTGTTGTTAAATGTAGCAGTTGAAGAGTAGTGACACACAGTACAATAGTTTATATATTAAATATGTTACATTGGTCTTATTTCTTCCTGTTTCAAACAGACCACACCATTTTACCACAGCTATAACATGAAAACAGAGAAGTATCTCATATGTCTGGTTGTAATCAAGTCCGTAGCCCTTCAGTTATGATTAATGGAGTAGCACATCCAAGGATGGTCTGAAAAATAAAGTTAGACAGAGTATTATCCAGTATGCAAAACTGCTTTGCACTGAATTGCTGCACTAATATTTAATAATTTTTAATTATTGCGCTAATAAGCAATAATGAGAATTTATGTACAGTGAACTTCAATGTGTCTTTAGATTTGAAGAAAAAATGTCATTGCTCAGGTCTTTGATTTGTGTATGCATGCTTACTCACCTTACCTTCTGGTACTTCATCCGATAAGTAGATCACTTCCAGATCAAGAGAAAAGTGCAAAGAAAGAATATGAAGTGAGCTTTTGTCATTTTCAATCCAGCCTAACACAATCAAATCAAGAACAAGATCAACTTGGTAGTTCATCTAGAAATTAAACCACAAATGATGTTAGAGAAACAAAGAGCCGTGAAAGCAAAGTTTTGCCCATGTTAGATTAACATCTATTATATGGATTAATTTCATTCAAATGTATTTTTTTAAATACACATTCAGCACTATATACCGTGAATATAGCAGCTGTCCAATGGCAGGCCACGTGAGATCAAACTGTGCTAATCTTGAGCTTTCGTTGAGAATTCAGTTGTATATCCGAGTTCTGCTAGTAGTGAACTTTTGCCAATCACGAATAGTTCAGAACTAGCGGAATTCCAGACATACGACTGACTGAGTGCTGCCCCATGATACTTTCTGATCCATCTGTTTCTGAAAAACATCCTTTTCAACTATATCACTGAATATCTGTGAGTTACACTGTGATAGCAAAAAAACATCACAATAGTGACACATGATTCTCAATCCCACCAAAGCATAGATATTAATTCCATTAAGTCCACTTTAAAAGAAAGTGTAAAAGATCATAATGAACAAATACCTGGCAGTTCTTAGCAATTTCTCATTTGCCAAAACAAGGAAACAACTGACAGTGTAAAAAAAAAAAAGGTTTACAGACTGCTGTTGTCTTCATGTTGGCTCCATCCTCATCCTGGCTTGGTCTGTTCACGTCCTAGCATTCACTTCCTCCTGCTCCACTTTGCCACAATAGAAGGAGAAGCAGATGACTGAAAAAAACAGAAAGAAAGAAAACGCCTATCGTCAGAAACAGGGAGAGATTAAAACTGACCTCATCAAGATTTTCAGATAAACCCTGCTTTCCCTAAACTGAACCATCAATCCATTGGGATTAGGAAGGTTTGGGCTGCATCCTTGTCAATACTAATTAAGATTCCTTGTGGAGGGTACCTGGGTACCCCAGTTGTCCCAATAAGCTGATTTGGAACTTGGACTGTAACCTAGATGTCTGACTTACAGTAACCCTGCACAAAACATGATGATTACGATTGAAATTAAATTTGTTTTAAATTGGCATGAGAGAGTAAAGATTTAAGTGTTGGTAAGCATGAACTGTATGGCACAGTGTTTACAACGACATTGATATCATTGAGGAAGTTTTCCTGTCCTTTATAAAGACTTAAATATACTCTGTAAAGTCTTTAGTAAAGTTGTGCAATCATTTTAACATTATTTACGACTTACTGAAATTAAGTGAACCTTCAGTTTTGAAATGGCCTGAAATTTTGAAATTAAAAGCTTTGAAATTAAAGCTTCTTTAATGATATTAATATCCTCAGAACCACATTCACCTAAAGAACCTTTATATGCTGAAATGTTGCATGTGTGGAATATTATAGAATTGAAGCTACGATATATATTCTATGTAACTATGCAATATATAATGTATGAATGTGCAAATGTGTAGTATTTGTGCAACGTACCATATAATGCAATCTACATCTTACAATCATATAAAAAGTTCTTTACTCCTGCAATAGACACCAGGGGCCATTATATATATAAAAAAAAAAAACAAGCTAACTCTAGAATCCTCTTTTATTTGTTAACCTTTAACTTAATTTTTTATTGTAAAACGCAAAATGCAACCTTTCTATTATAGCTCCATTTTTTGAAACCTAAAATGCAGAATTCTACTTAGCACCGGAAAGGATTCTGTTATTTTTAGCCAGAGTACTCTAATGCTATTTTGTTTCAGAAAGTGACATCTGTTTCAATTATTTGCAATATAATTTTATGCATGTTTAATAAAAGTCATTCTTGACACACTGTCCAAGAAGCTTTAGTCAAGTGCAAAAGTGATCTGTGACCTAAACTTAAAACTTAGAAAGCATCAAAGGGCGCTGTCACCGTATAATCACTCCTGGCTCGGTCATGCCAAATGTTACCGTACACTGTTTTGGTTTACCTGTGATGGCTTCAACAATCCTAGGAAGGAACAGTAGCTTAGGCCTCCTATAAGCCTAATGAATGAGTCTTTGTTCTGCTCCTGTTTTGACCTAAAAAATTCTTCACCCTGTAAGCCAGGGCATCCTCTTTTTTCGCGTATTAAAGAACTTTGACAGGAGCCCAAAGTCTGTCGGTGTGAGTCGGCCAGAGACAGCAGACAGTAGAAGCACAAAGGCCCAGACCTTTACAACAGCTAAATAACTACAGGTTTGGGCTATACAACAACCTCCAAAAATGGCAGAGCAGTGGGGAGATGCAATCTTCGCAGCCAGGCGAAGGGGAGATGAAACGACGAGGGAAGCGATGTTTGTATATACCAACAGCAATAACACCAAGGGTAAGTATTTAGTAATTTTTTTCTGTATTAAAAAAAAAAAAAACATAATAATAATTTGAAAAACGTAGCTATTCTGTTAATATGATAAAGCCACGTGAAAGTCTTTTTGGGCTTTAAGCTGTTTCTGAACAGTGGCAAAGAAAGAAGGCAGAAAACTTTGGTAGTCACAGTCTTAAACTTCAAATGTTTTTTTGTTTTTTTTTGACCTGCCAGAAGGATCATACAGGACAAAGAACAATTTCAGACTGATAAATAAGAAGCTTTAGAAAAATGATAGTTGGTTGCAATGGCTGTCAAGTAAGAACTCTTTCAAGATGGTGATATTACTGCTCTTTATTTCTCATTTCCAGATCCCTTTGAGGGACCCAACTACCACATTGCCCCTCGATGGGTGTACAACTTAGCAACAGTATGGATGTTCTTTGTGGTCGTTGCCTCGACCTTCACCAATGGCCTGGTGTTGGTGGCCACAGCCAAATTTAAGAAGCTCCGTCACCCTCTTAACTGGATCCTGGTCAACCTTGCTTTAGCTGATCTAGGAGAGACTCTTTTGGCCAGCACCATCAGTGTCATCAACCAGGTTTTTGGCTACTTTATCCTCGGACATCCCATGTGTATTTTTGAGGGATACACCGTGTCTGTATGTGGTAAGTTACTGCCCAAAGACATCATTATTCACAATGAAAAAACAACTACAGATAAATGCATTAGAAAAAAGTTTAATATGTATAACACAATCAATAGGTATCGCTGGTCTGTGGTCTTTGACTGTCATCTCTTGGGAAAGATGGGTGGTTGTCTGCAAACCATTTGGAAATGTCAAGTTTGATGCTAAATGGGCATCTGCTGGTATCATCTTCTCCTGGGTTTGGCCTATTTTCTGGTGTGCACCTCCCATCTTTGGCTGGAGCAGGTAAAGTCCATTATTAAATGATCAAAATGAAGACATTTGACAGCTACATAGATGTATATCTTAGTAATTCAACATAAAATGATTGAATTATTTGGCTTATAATACAAGCATATAAGTTCCACACAAGAATAAATGTGAATCTTCAAATCCATTATTTTCTCACAGATACTGGCCTCACGGTTTGAAGACCTCCTGCGGCCCTGATGTCTTCAGTGGAAGCGAGGACCCCGGTGTCCAGTCCTACATGATTATCCTGATGATCACCTGCTGTATCATCCCTTTGGCCATTATCATTCTCTGCTATATTGCTGTGTGGCTGGCCATTCGTGCTGTAAGTTGTCTCTTGGACTGGTTTAAAAATGTTATTCCAGTTTGTAAAAAGCCATTAAGCATCTGCCATTTCTTTTTAACAGGTCGCCCAGCAGCAGAAGGATTCTGAGTCCACACAGAAAGCAGAGAAGGAAGTGTCCAGAATGGTGGTTGTCATGATCCTGGCCTACTGTGTTTGCTGGGGACCTTACACGTTCTTCGCCTGCTTTGCAGCTGCAAACCCAGGCTATGCCTTCCACCCACTGGCAGCAGCCATGCCTGCCTACTTTGCCAAGAGCGCCACCATCTACAACCCCATCATTTATGTCTTCATGAACCGACAAGTAAGCCAGTGCTGTTTAACGGAGCTCAGACCTTGAGCACATTGAGAAAACTTCGCTAAATAATCTTGATATCTCTTTCTTTGCAGTTCCGTGTATGCATAATGCAGCTCTTTGGCAAGAAGGTGGATGATGGCTCTGAGGTGTCCACATCCAAGACAGAAGTGTCCTCTGTGGCTCCTGCATAAATTGCACACCAGATCTCAGAGCAAACGTCTTGAGTCAGACATGGGGAAAAAAGATGAAAATGGGACTTTTTATATTCCTTGTTTAGCCTCACCGTATCTTGACGATTCTGCTTCCAGATATTTCCCTTGGAGTGATGGGGAATATCTTGTTGCATGACAGTGTGTGTTAACATTACTTTCTCAATGGCCCTGTGACTTAGGATCCACAGGAATGATGTTACAGTTTTTATGGTAAGCATTTGTCACACTATTATTTGTCCACTGGCTATTCAGAAGGTTGTGCGCCTATATATAGCACCTCTTTGTGGGAAAGTGACACTCAGTGTGGATTAACTAACAGTGAAAAGTAATCGCCTCATTCTAATGTATAATTCTGCTGGACTGATGTTCAGTGGCAATGTAATAACGTCTCTTTAAGTTTAATTTTGTAGCCATCTTGCAAGAAAACAAAAATGACAAAAAAATGTTTGATAGATAGATGCCTGTCTATTTGGTTTTTTTTTTTTGATGAAAATAAAAAAAGCAGCAAAATAAATATTTTGTTTTTTTTGAGTCTTTCATATATTCCCCTGGCATAATTTTTTTTTAATACAGTTTAATACAAAGTCCACTTAAAGGAAAATAACTTTCAATTCAATATGTTTTGTTGGGCTAGACAGGATTTAAAGCTTAAAGGTCACTTAGAAGACTGCAAATAAGAGCAAGTCAATTGCATTTCCTCTATTTAAGCCTAAGGTGGCTAAGCAATTTCAATTGGAATGTGACACTAAAAGCACTTCTTATCTAAGGAAGATTAACCTCGAATTGAGGTCTAACCTTTTTGATTCTGAGTATCCATGTGCCCCTGTGTGCGTGGGTGCAAATGTATGTGTGGATGTGTGTTTTCATATAAGGTCGGACGGCAGTTAAGGCCCATACTTTAACATGTAGATTTGGGTGCACTTCCTGCCAGTCTGGCAGTTTGTTGGTTGTGATTTTAACTGCAAAAGGAGAAATAAAAGGCAAAGTAGGGGCCAGCCACCAACTCAGGGAGAGAAGAATCCTGTAACAGGTACAACCACTGCAATATTTACTATTTTTGGTCACATTCATTGAAAATGACTCTGAAAAAATGTCAGAGTGGCCAATATGGCCTATGGTGCCAGACAACAAGGGGTACAGCAGCAATAACACAAGGGGTACTTTACAACTTGATCTTCAGGTCACAGCTGGAATTCTGTACGTTATGAATAAGTAGAAGTGGAAGATTGAATAATAATGTCTCATCTGTTCACAGATCCATTAGAGGGAGCCAACTATCAATAGGAAATGAGTTTTGAACTGAATATTCAGGCTTAAAGTTGGAATAGTCTTGACTGCACATTTGTAGCTAACACTTCTCTGAAGAAGAAAAAAAAAAAACGGTTTACTGTCCTGGGAAATATTGAACTCAAGTTGAATTTGCAATAAAATTTTGTTTGAATGTCATTCAAATATTTTATGAAATTTCTCACATGCACGCATTCTAAAAGATGTAATAAATGTTCAAAAACAGGTCCAATGAATAATGTTGTTGTTGTTGTTGTCATCGTCACAGAGCTTTTTGTTTTGTAGATGCATTTGCAAAAAAAAAGTCATATTGTTTCATTGTTTTATGAAGAAGAAAAATCATGCAGCAAAATGATGCATTGTAGTCAATATTTTAGTTGTCTGAACTATTCACAAATTGTTAGTAGAAGTCAGTCAATGCATTGTTTATTTTTCCTCATCTCAGTATCGTGATTATTTCAGCCCACTGTACAGGGAACAGCTCAGATCAGAATCCATGTAAAGTTGTTTTGCAGATAAGCTAAAAGAAGAGAAATAAAAGATGAAACACTTTAATGATGCTCTTCAAGAATGAATAACTTGCTTTTTTACTTAAAAGATAACTGCACTTTGGATCTCCTGAACTATGGAAATCTAAGTATTTCTCAAAAAGTATCTTGCAATGGTTTTATAAAGGATAAATGAAGAGCACATGAAGCCAGGTAACATCTTGTAATCTCACATAAGCTCTATTCCACATCAAGCGGATAGAAGATTTCACCTAGACTGGCCAGTAAAGTCTCGACTTTTATAGGAAGCTTATATGACGGAACTCATTAGGTTAAAACACTGTTGAGTGTATTTGTGTACATGAGGGCATTCGTGTGAGTGTAGAGGGGCTTGTGTGACTGTGTTGTGGATTCTGCTCATGTGCATGTGTATTTGTTTGAGCTAGAACAACAATGTCGAGTCAGTTAATAGTTATGGCGGGGAAATCCTGTTTTAATGGGAATGCTTTTGATATTAATTTTAACTGAGAAAGAATAAAAAAATAAATAATCAAAAACAAACAATTCAGGTACTTTTTAATGTACCTGTGTTCAGGACTGTATTTTAGACTTTGAATCATATTATGTGTAATCTGCCAGGACGATTATTGTTTTCTCATTAACCTTGAACGGATTTCTAAGTGGGTTTTGGAGGGACATCATGCCACATTGTAAGAAATTACACATTTATTAAAGTTAAAGTCTGGTTTTAACTATCACATTTTACTACTAAGTACAGTGGAGATCAAAATTAGAGAACAACCTGCTATTTCCTAAATTTCAAGGTCACTGCTTAGTCCTATTTGAAATGATCCTAACAGGAGTAGAAGGGCAGTTTTTTAAGCATATTTCATAAATTAATTGTATTCTGAACCACAGTATATATAACAATCTTAAATTAGATATTTGAAAAAGAACTCTGATCAAAATTATAAAACACTTATAGATACCTATTCATCTATAATTTCCTTAAATATATGATAAACCCCATTTAACTGGCAGCATTCCTCTAATTTAAACCCTGCGACAGGAGGCTGTCCAGATAAAGGCCAAAGGGATGACCCTTTTAGCCACTGCAAGAGAAGCAGGTCATTCCAAATCGGTGATTTCTTGAATATTGCAGCTTTACAACAACACTAATTCATTCAAATCCCCCAAAAGGCTGGTCGTCCACGTAAGACAAATGCACGAGAAGACAGGATAATGTGGAGACTCTGAATGGGGAATCAGTTCAACACTGCAGATGAAATTGCTCGCCAGTTCAGTGCTGAACAGGGTAAGGAACTGTCTCAGCACGTTTAAGAGAAGTCTGACTGAAAGCGCACTCTGCAGTGACCAAGCCTCTCATTAGCAGAAAGAATCAAAAGGCTAGGCTCACCTTTGCTGAGGAGCATGTTGTGTGGAGAGAGGAGAACTGGTCTAAAGTTCACTTTAGTGATGAGAGCAAGTTGAATGCAAATATTTATCTGAACCTCCTTCAGCAACATGCAGTTCCTTCCCTGCAAGCATCTACCAATCAGCCGGCAATTTTCATGCAAGACAATGCCACCGTCACACTGCAAAATGGGTAAAGCAGTTCCTTGAAAAACATTGAAATAATTAAATGGGCGGCCCAGAGTTCTGATCTAAACCCAACTGAAAATCTCTGGGAAATACTTTTAACTATGGAAGAGAGTGGAAGAAGAGTGGACCTGTTGTGGATTTTTCTTGGGTGCGGCCAATGAAGTGGAAGAGCAGAGTTCCAGATGTCAAATTATAGCACAATTCCCATTGAATTTTCCCATGTCATGTTTCCCTTTTGATTTGTTAAAACACTCATATTCGAGTGTTCGATCAATTACATAAGCTAGGGTTAACATAATTCAGCATATTAATTTATATACTGATTATTTTCACATAACGTTCAATAAAATTACACAATAGACCAAGATCACACCAGCGCAGTGTGAGAAACCAGTGATGTCCTGTGGCTGCAGATGTGCAGAAGTCACTCAAAGCAGGGGCCTCTTCAATTCCTACTGAATTCTGACAGCTGTAACCCTCCAAAATTGTAGTTGTAATCATCTTTCGTGCTACAGTGGTTTCTGTTCTGTAATTTTGATCACTGTGTTTTCCACAAAATAAAGGTTTTTGTTGAAATGCCTTGGATATTTTGTCAAACATGTTAGTAGAACAGTGGTATACCTACAGCCAATATTCCTTCAAATTTTGAGCAATGAAGATTAACAATATTTCAGAAAAAAATCAAGTATTTATAAATTTTGATCTCCACTGTATGTGGCAGCGTTGTGCCACTGTACAGTTTTTCAATGGGTTTCACGCCACAGGACGCTGCTGTTTCACTTAGACTTTTATTTTGAAAAAAACAAAATGGAGTTCGGTGCGTGCAGCCTTCACACTTTAAAGCATTCACACGTGCAGCCATGTCCAAAGCAAGTGAGTATATGTACCTCTGAGTCTTTTTTACATACAGAGCATTAAAAAGTCTCCTGACGTAATGGTCATTCTTATTTAATTACTTTTACCGTGTTACAGAGCAAAACCGAGCGAAACGCCTGGGGTTTTGCGGTAAAAAGGTGCGTAGTTTAGCCTACATGCTAACTTACTGTCAAATCAATGTTTCTTTTAGTTCAGTTGAAGTGAATATGACCTGCTTACTTACTGTATGTCTAAATGCATCAGAACAATAAACACTACCAGTCAAATATTTGGACACATTTTAAATAATCAAAACTATGAAACAACACTATAATGGAAGTTATGTTGTATGACAGAAAGGTAAACAAATCAAGTCTTATATTTGAGCTGCTTCAAAGCTCCACTCTTTGCCTAGATTTGCCATTCTTTGCCAACTTTATGAGGATTTAAGATATTGAGAAACAAAAATTGAGTGTCCCACCTTTTGACAAGCAGTGCCTGTTGACTGTCATCTGTTTCTCTTCTCTAAAGTCCAAGGATGGGCAGCAGTCTAATGGAGGAAAGAAGGATCCTGGCATACCTAATGTGCGCAGCTTCAAAGAACACAGTCAGAGACAAGCTGAACTCCGAAAACAGAGGGTGGGGAAGGGATCTGTACAACCATTTCTAAATATGCTGCATATTTCCAAATCTGAAATACATACAGTCGTGGTCAGAATTATTGGCACCCTTGGTAAATATGATCAAAGAAGGCTGTGAAAATAAATCTGCATTGTTAATCATTTTGATCTTTTATTTAAAAAATTCACATAAATCTAACCTTTCATTGGAGAATAAGAATTTAAAATGGGGGAAATATCATTATGATATAAACGTTTTCCTCTAATACACATTGGACACAATTAACGGCACCCTTTTATTCAATGCTTTTTGAAACCTCCATTTGGCATAATAACAGCTCTGAGTAATTATGAGTTAACTCAGTTAGCTCTGAGTTATCCTATAATGCCTGATGAGGTTAGAGAGCACCTGACAAGAGATCAGAGACAATTCCTTCATCCATAATCTCTCCAGACCCTTCAGATTCCCAGCTCCATTATGGTGCTTCTCCTCTTCAGTTCACCACACTCATTTTCTATAGGGTTCGGGTCAGAGGACTGGAATGGCCATG